AAGCGGGGACTTTCTTTCCGGACATTAAGATTGCAATGGGAAATGCCCACAATGATCCTGGGAGAGCCAACTTTCCCCTAAACCCTGACTCATGAAACCTTACTTGGGATACCAGGACATCTGTAAGAAACACTTTAATAACAGTCTGAGTAGGTGCCAGTCACTGGATAACAGTTGAATGTGCCTTTGGAAGATTTAAGCTGCACTGATATTATCTTTATGGCAGGTTTGACCTTGGTGAAGATAATATTCTGGTCATTGCATAATCTGTGTGACTCTGGAGGTGATAGGTTTGCTCAGGGGTGGAGCGCTGAGATGGACGGCTTGACTGCTAAGTTTAAGCAGACAGATAGTAGGGCTATCAAAGGTGCTCAAAGGTCTTCAATTGAAATCAGGGAGGCTTTGGAGAAGCATTTTGACAATGAGCAGCAGTCATTTTTCCTGTGTTAGAGTTGCTTCCCTGGTGTATTACATGTCCTTTTTTCTTAGGAGACTGTTGACCTTTGGGGGCCACATATTCCAGTAAGAAAATGATTAAAATGCCTAAGCATATATTAGTAGTGATTGCTATGTGACTTGCAGGGAGGAAAAAAATAAAGATTTACTATTACAAATCTCTACTTTTATTAATCAAGAAATGGCACATTGACACTATCTAAAATTGAGATGCTTGAGGGAAAGGAGGGACTGGGACAGGGCAGAACCTCACAACTGTGTATAGGTCCAGATATTCTTGTGAAAGCTGTGCAGTAGGTAGGAGTGAAGGAAAAACTGGTGAGTACCTGAAAGTGGAAAGGTGGCATGTGCATGTGTGGAGAGAATGGTAAAGATTTATGCATGAAGAGCCCAGGTCTGCTCACTCTGCCATATTATTGAAGACTCGAGCATTTCTGTTTGGTCCTCCATTACTTTTATCATGTACTCCGTTCTGTCACTAGCAAACATTGGATTGGAGTGGGCAAGTTGCCTCTTGTGGGCTTTATCAGGTCTGCCAAGCCACCAGATCTGGCCTGTGGACACCCTGCTGGGACCCTCAGACATACAGCAGCCACTGATTTAAGTGCAGGGCTGCCCTGAGTGGCTCTGTGCTCTAGAGGGAAGGGGAGGCTTTTTGTGACCAGAAACAACCAACCAATAGTAGCTAAGAGATTGGCCTGGAAGGTGGGGGGCAACACAAGCCTCTCCTCATCCTGGAGCTGAGAGGCACATTGAGAGAACAGCCCACAATATTAAGTGATCTGGGGCTGCAGCAGGCAGGGAGTCCAGCCTGCTGTGGGGATGCTGCAGGTAAGTTCCTCCCAGCCAGAGCCTGCCTCTGGCACTCCTACCCATCCTGCATATCAACTCCCTTGCCCAGGTCAGCATCCAAACCCTCTGCACCCTCTTGCCCCCGTCACAACTCCCTCCCATACCCTGCACCCCCTCCTTCACCTTTCCCTCAGGCCAGAATCCCTTGACTCAGGTCAGAACCCCCTCCTTCACCCAAACTCTCCCTCTCAGAATCTACTGCAGAGGATTAACAAGTACAGGCAGTCCCTGGGTTTCGTACAAGATAGGGACTGTAGGTTTGTTCTTAAGTTGAATCTGTATGTAAGTCGGAACTGGCATCAGCCGCTGCTGAAACTGATCAGTTTCAACAGCTGCTGAATCTGGACACCAGTTCCACTTACATACAGATTCAAGATAAGAACACCAGGCGTCCCCAAGTCAGCTGCTGCTGAAACTGATCAGCAGCTGATTCCAGGAAGCCCAGGGCAGAGCAACTCTGCCTTGGGCTTCCTGTAGTCAGCTGCTGGGGTGCCTGGGGTAGAGCAGCTCGGGTGCTGCTGGCTTGGTCCAGTAGCGCGGCTGCTCCTCGGAGCTACTGGACCAACCCAGCAGCACCCCAGCTGCTCTGCCCCCCGGCTCCTTACT